TCTGACTGTGGGGTAGAAGGTACAAAAGTGTTCTTGGAGAAGCTTATGGTCTGAGTGCCGTGGTGTCTCGGGGTGCTCTAACAAGTGCTTTTTGCAGAAAGAGGCCAAGAGCCTGCTGTGATTGAGGAGTTTGGTGGTTTTTAGGGATTAACTGCGCTGTCAGTGAAGCCATCTGCATGAAATGTCTGACTTCCTTCAGTGTTTGTAATTTCTGTGGCTTCTTCATAATGTTTCCTTTTGTTGAGAATGACTGAAGAACTTTCTGATTTTGTTTGTCCCTTTGTTTTCAGTGGGATGAGTGAATAGACTTCCCTATCCCAACCCATTCATCAGTCATGTGAATGCGTTGTCAAGTAAATTTTATAATTCTTTGATTCAGCAAGCAGAAAAGTCCTGATCTTTGTCATTGACCAGTATTTAACCCATTCTGCTGTCTGAAATGCATGTCATACCTCAGGTGCAACAATCAGACTGATAGGGATAACAAATTTCATGTTACGTCTTCTCCCATACCCACATAGCCTGCTATTTTTTTTTTTTTTTTTTTTTTTTTTGGCCTGATGTGCTGGCCATGGGGCCCTGGGTGACCTGCCCCAGGCACCACCAGCTGAGGGGACATCACGGGCTCCTCAGGTGAAGGCGATGAGCCTGACCCTCCTGCTGTGCTGAGTTAGATGCCAGCACAGACAGAAATGTCTCTGATGCTTTGTTTGGTTGGTTTTTTTTTTTAATTATTAATTTTTTTATCTCTTTGGTTAAGGCCGATAGATGCTTTATTTATTTCCAGTTGTAACTTAGCATGCCAAAAAATATCATTTAAAAGAATAAAAGGATGACGTTCTTGTAGGCTGAAAAGTGAGAGCAGTCTCAGTGCAAAAGCACATGTTGGCTCTGGGCCACTTCAGAGCCTCAAGGTGCTGGGATAACTCCAGGAATGCCTCATCAAGTGTTAATAGATTTAATTGCCTAGATTTCAGACAGGTGATTTCTCTAATCCCCACTCAGCTGTCGAGGGGCAGTGGAACGATGCAGTAATGCAGGTTGAAGAAAGAAAAATTAAAAAGCATCCAGAGCCCAAGCAGCGTGGGTGATGGGATTATATCTGCGTGTGTTTAACTGCTCAGAACATCACAGTTTTTAATGTATTTTTTTGCATTTGACTGGCTGCTGGGGCAGGGACGAGCAGCTCCAGCCACCCCCTGTTTCTCAACCCCTTATTTCCATGTGCCAAATGTCACAGCCCCGAGGGTCCTGTGCCCCCATCCCTGGCTGCACCCACACCATGGGACCTCCTCTCCAGGCACTCCGAATTCTTAATTCAAGGAGATAATTACCATAAGAGGAAACCCACGTACCAAAAGAAGTATAGACTCTACGTGGTTTATGATACTATTAAAATACGAAGCCTCACTATTACTGTATTTTGACAATGCTTCTGTTTGTTTAATGTATAAATATATGTATTTAAAAAAAAGAAAGCTCTGTGTATAAACCATCCGCGTTTTGCAGACATTCTTTCTATGGTGTAAATTTATAGCAGACATTCTAATGGGATGTTGAAATAAATACTGTAGATACTTAACCTGTGGTCAATGCAAGTCTAAGAACAAACATTTAATTTTTCTAATTCTTTAGACTCAGTTACGATACTAATGTAAAAAAACAAAAGCATTTTATTTTTGTAAAGGTCCTGGAAATGTTGATGCACCGAGGAGAGTTGTTTCTGCTGGGGTGGACCAGCCCCTCTCCTGCTCTTCCACGGGGAGAGGGAAACAATTGCTGTTGCTTCCAATAAACTTAGGAGAAAAAAAAAAAAGTGATTTTTTCTGAAGGACAGGGTTGTGTTCCAGTGCAGGGACATGACAGGCCCTGGGGGGAAATACAGAAACGAGGACGGCTCCAATATTTTTGGGTTTACCAGCAAACGGCTCCATCGCATGTTCCGTGTCCACGAAGGGTTTCACCCACTAAATATGGACTAAAACCCCTGTATCGTGCATTAAAGTCGAATCAAATGTTCAGACCAATGCTAAAGTATATTTATTTCCTGTTATACCCCTTTTTACTTCAATCTATATTTTTATTTCCCCCGCGTGAGAGACCTGTCGTCTCTCAGGCTCGGCTCCTGCATGGATTTTTTTATCAGCAAGAGCAGCTAAAACTCCCCTTTTCCTCCCCAAGAGCTGATTTTGTGACACGCTGCAGACGGTTTTGTACAATTCCTGTGAAGATGCTTCACAGCTCTGTAAAGAAAAATGACAATAAAAGCGCTGCATGCAGCAACAGGAGAGACTGATGCCTTATTTTCTTTTTTTCTGGGAGCAACCTTCTATTTGAAAATCCGTGGCAAAACGTAGCTTTAGAGTCCTGAGAGTTATGAACCCACATTTCACCTCTGCCAAAGCTGGGGCACGTGAAAACTTTTAAATTTAATCTCAGCTTTCAAAACTTTCTGTGCATGAACTTAGAAAGCATGTGTTAGATTTGTTGTTGTGTTAAAAATAACAACATCGTATTTAAAGGTAATTTAATTAATTTATTTAATCCTTATTTTCTATGATTCAACAAATGCATTAAATTTTGTGGCTATTTAACTGAACCTTTTTTTTTTTTTATTTCAGCACGTGTTTTTTCTGCCTCTAAGCTCTTCAGAATCTTTCACTGCCTTTGTGATTCACATCTGCAGCCCAAGATTTCCAGGAAAAGAACCCATTTCTAGAGCACATTGCACACATATAGATTTATAGATTTATAACTTTGTGATCAAGTGCAAACAGTGGGCAACTGGAGAGTGGTTTTATTAGGCATTTTAAGAAAATACTGTAAAAGTTAGATTTGTCTTTAGACCCTTCATGTCTAAATGGGCTTGGCTTTGGTTGGCTCCAGTTTCCACTCACAGATCCCTGGTTGGGAGATCTCCCCCAAAAACCTTCATTTTCCAACAAACCCACCCATTCTGTATCAGGATTTCCAGGGTTGTGTCTGTCTTAGTTTGTGTCACTGTCACCAGATGCTGGTTCTCAGTTGCTTTGTCACCACGCCAAGAGGACTTCTCAGCAGGAGGTTCTTCACCTGGTCACACCTGCTTTTCATCTCACTTCATCTTCCACGGCAACAGAAGCAGTAAAAGAGGAGGAAATAACACTGCAAAATGAACCAAAATGCATTTAAATTTTTGTCCGAGTTGAGAAAAAATTAGCTTAAAAACTTCTTCTAGAGGAGAAAAATCTGGAGCACTAAAATGTACATTAGAAGGTAAAAAAAATGGTATTGATCTGGTTGGGAAACAAAAAGGAAACCAAAACCACGAATTACTTTTTCTAATTTTACTATACATTCAGTTTTCGTAGCTGTTCCCTGAAAGACATAGATTCAAAAGCATGTTTTTCTTTTGGTGAGATTTCCATGTAACACCACGGTAATTCTGGGAGGTCTGTTCTCTTCGAACCCTTCTTTCAAGTGCCTCATTTGAATTTCAACAAACGCTGTATATTGAATATTTAACCACCCCTGCTGCACACAGCCGTTTAAGATGCTTCCCCCAGAGCTTCCCCCCCGCCCCAGTACAATAAATATATGTTATTTCTGAACCAGTTCAGATGCATCAGGAAACCGTGACTATTTCAATACCAAGATGCAATTTGAAAGCAGATTTATATTTATTTAGGCAGGGGCAAGGAAATAAATCCATCCTGTGATTTTTCCCTCCTGGCCGAGGATGGAGTGTGACATCCCAAAGCCCCTCACAGGGCTTTGGGATGTCACACTCCATCCTCGGCCAGGAGAGAGGTGTTCAGCAGCTCTGGGAAGCACATCCCTAAGGAAAAAAACAATAAAATCTATCACTTAAATGTCTAGATGTGCTTTGGATAACGAGCACAATATAATCCTGCAATGCAAAGCGTACAGCAAGGAACAGCCCTGCCAAAGAAAAGGGGAAGAGACTAAAAGTAATTCAATTTTCATTTCACATTTCCATCGTCATGAGCCTTTCAGTTTCTGGAATTAATCCTTTTTGCCATACGGACCGTACTTAATATAGTTCAATTATCAAAACACGAGCTTATTTTTGTCATTCCATCCAAACATTGAGAAATTCTCAGTCTGGGGGACAAGAACAGCCCATTGTAAGATTTGGGATTGTTTAAAAAAAAGAGCAGCATTTTAATGAAGTGATCTTTTCACTTGATTTCACCTTCATCCAGAAGGGACATTCCATTTCCTTCATATGAAGATCCTCAGTTACAGTTTTCTTTGGATGGCTTCAGATTCTGGACTTTTAACAGTCCAACTGTCAATGTAAAAGAGAAGAAAGAGGCCTTTTGCTATTTTTGTTTTACAGCATAATCTCAGTCACATCTTCCTCTTCAATATTATCCTGGGCAATGCGCTTAGTACGGAAGCAGAGCTGTAATATGGTACCCAGAATATATCTTTATATATATATATCTAAACTATCTTTAATGCTCAGTGCTAAACACAGCAACGTTACCAGAAATGACTTTAAATGCCATGAGGCATTAACGATGCTCATCAGAACCTTGACATCTTCAAAACCCCTGCAGCCAAAACAAGCCCTAACACACCCGCTAAACAGAGCTCACAACCACGAGGGAAATATTGTGCTTAGATAATAATTTTATATTGATAATGTATCCAAAATAAATTAAAAAAAAAAAAAAAAAAGGAACGTGGATATTTTTTGTTTATTATGTGATAATAAGACTCCATGTCCAAATGGTGATCTCAAGTTAATTGCAAAATTTTAAATGCTATGTGGGAAATATACTTACATTTCCTGATGTGCAGGTTCTTCCACGATGGGATTTGCCACCCATCACAATTTTAAGTGTATCATAAATATACATGGAACACCAAAAAAAAAAAAAAGTTAAGAGGTAAGAAGTAGTAAACTTTTTCTCCCATTTTTAATATCTTCATATATATAATTAAACAACAGAACAGCTGATCAATGTAAATGAGGACAAGAATTCCATATCTTTTTTTTTTCAGTTTTAATGTGTTGAAAGATGTATTGTAGACATCTAAAAAATATACTCAAGTCGACCACGTGAATACCTCCATTTCAAACTGTCCTGAAGAATCTGGTATCAAAGTTTTCACTGATCAGAAGTGCACACAGAATGTCTCCCCCACAAAATGACTCAAATTTTTCCCGTTCTGTGTAGGGAACGTAGCAGGAAAAACAGGTACAAAATCAATCTCTCAAAAATCTTCTTTGCAGGTCCCTTTCCAGATGGGTGTCCTGTGACACGTCCCACCACTGCCATCCTCCGCCACCTGCACCGCGCTCAACTGCCATGAATTACATTTAAAACCCTAATTAACTGAAAGCTATTTAATTAGACAGGCAGAGCATGGATAATAGCTTAATACCCAGCCAGAAAGACTGGCTACACTAAAGCACGACTGCAGAAACCCCCCAGGTGGGCTCCTGCTGTCACAGAGTACACCAGGCTCCAAGGACCAGCAGCTCAGAGAGATGACACATCTTGTTTGTTGCTGCATTTAGAATACAAAAAAAACCAAAACAACAAAAAACCAACAAAGTGAAGGGTTTTGAGCATTCTGACATTGCCTCTAGCGATCAGTTCTGAAGGCTTGTGGGGAAAGGAATGGAAAACTCAAGTCCTGAGAAGGCAGTCGTGTTACTCTGACCTTACAAAACAGCCCCAAGCCCTTGGCTCAGTGAAACCCCCCCGAGATCCCCACTTTCAGAGCTCTTTACTCTCCAGTGGAGAAAACTCACATTATTTTTTCTGCACACTCAACAGTTCTAGCCGCCCAGCACGTCGTGTCCAACTGTATTAAGGTTTTCAAAGTCAGTGAGTATTTCCCAAACTCAGCTTACTCTTGCTTGGACTCGTACTCTACCGCAGAGGATGATGAAAATGAGACAAAGACACATTAACCACAAACGCAAACAGCACGTGTAAATACACAACAGACCGGGGCATGAAAGTTTGAGGGGAAAAAAAACTGCGTTTAAGAGCACTTTAAAGATGTACATTCTTGAATTTATTATGTGTAAGAAACCAGTAAGAAATCGAGAGAGGTCAGAGACAGATCTACTTTCAGGCTACTCTCATGGGAAACTAATTCTCCAGCTCAGAGTGAACTTGGTGGGAGGACACAAAAGGTTTAGGCACTTCTTCAGAAAATTCGGGGGGGAACCCCTTGTTTTTAGACAGCCATTAGAGTTTATTTCCCTTCTAGAGTCAGTAGGAGAAGCTGACACTGACCCTTCTACAAAACACCATCTGCATTTACCTCCATAGGTCTAGAGTTTTCCTACATTCCTCTCCACACTCAATTGTTATGTTCTTTACAGACAAGCTTCTCTTCCCACTTTTCCAAACTCAATTAATACACCATATTCCTTGCCAAGGTATTTGAGATCAATGGTCTTTTGAACTAAAACTCAAGACTACTGTTTTTTAGAGAATTTAATCTCTTAGAAAATGGCTTACTCCTTAACTTCCTCTGTGATCCTCACTTGGGACAGACTACCTGCTCCCTACAGATGAAGAACTCCTGGCCTCCTCTCCTCTCCCAAGGGATGTCACCTCCTACTTTTCCAGCAGTAAAGGAACCCACGTTGCAGCAGGAACAGTGAGGACCTGATCTAGAACAACGAGATCCAGGAGGACACTGAAGGTGCCATCACCTTCTTTTAGTCCATTCCTTTCTATGGGCAGCGATATCTCAGCCTGAATGAAACACAGCAAAATACAAACCACTGATTTGTTTATTTTTCTCTACAAACAAGGACTATCTTATTTGAAAAATTCACTGTCCAGTCACAGAGAACTATTTCTGCATTGGAAAAGTCTATAGCTTTGAGAATGCAAATTTCACTTCTGTGCAACCAACGTGGATTCATTATGAAGCTTAAACAACCAGCTTATTCCTAAATTCCAGAGGCAGCTTGTCTTTCCAAATCACAAACAAGCTAATACTGAAGAGCCCAACAAAGGAAATTCTCTTGGTGCTTCCAAAATCCTGTCACTGACTGAACACACCGATCCAAGAAAACCCACCAGCCAGATTCAAGAGTCTGAAGATGGATGAAGGAAATCCTTAAAGAGACTGTTAAATTACTTTCCAATTTTCTGAAAGCCCATTGCTCAAAATCTTGCAGAAAGCAATCAGGGTTAGAACGAAGCTCTTGGCATGGAATTATTCCAGCCACATACAGGTGAGGCTTTCTAAAAGCTCAACTGAACACAGAATAGCACATCTTTAAAGCATATTAGTTCTTTGAGGGGATGAAGTGTCACAACAACAACAACAAAAGTACACATGAAATAAAAAGGAAATCAGTTAATGATTTTTATTAAACTTCAGTGTTTCATAAAATAAATATGGTATATAATATCAAACAGTGAGAAATAAAGCACAAGCATGAAAAGCATGGTAACAAAAGTTACACTCATGACGGTGTTTAATACTTAGCACTTTAGAAACCATAAAGCCTTTTAAATTATTTACAAGCAGCGAACTATCTAACATAATTTACAAAGTTGCAGCAGCCTAGTCACGGAGTACTGGAGGGGAAAAAATGGAGAGACTGCAACGGAAGACCTTCACTTGGCTCTACCTAGTTAGTACTTTATTCCCTACCCTATTTTCCCCTTCTGTACGTAACTCTCCGTAACTTCCATTATTCTCTAAAGTTTAATAATTCCACTGTCCTGTTAGAGCTCAGTTCATCTCCAGGGTGGTGGTGTGCCTTTTGCACTTAAGAGACACGTATTCAAGTAACACTTCAAATAAAAGTAAACATGTGCAAACCAAAAGGTATAAGCCCACGCGACCCCTCCGGTAGTAGTGTCAGACCAGATGGAGCAGGCGCTCGTTAGCAGATTAAATTAGAAAATAGCTACAGATACCTACTCAGAAGTCTAACCGGGGCCAAAAATGAGAAATGGGAATAATTAAAAAAAAAAACAAACCAAAAAGGAACTGAACTGCAAGTATACCCTGTTACCACAGACAAAAATTTAATCTGCTGAAACACAAAGACTTTTTAAGGTCATAACTCAAGATTTAATATTTCAACATGAAAAGAAATCCAAGCCATTCGACTTATTTGGGCTTTTGAAACAAATGCAAATGTCTCTGTTTAAAAATTGCTTTCAAATGAGAAAAACAAATCAATATATATTAATATATCACCCAAAATAAAAAACGTAACACACTCTTGATAGTAGAGCATGCTGCTCATTCAGAATAAAGACAGGACAAAGAAAGTAGAATTACATTTCATGATGTAATAAAAACATTAAAATTTGTGATCATTAAGTGCACCATCATACAGGAGTAGCGTGCTCAGAGTGGAAATGTTCTATACCTACCAGAATCCATCTTTATTAAAGCAAACAAATCTTTAGGACACTACCTGAAACTGAAATCAGTAATAACTGTGCTCCATTCCGCTCGCCTTAAGTTTCAGCCAGGCACATTCCAGCTAGTAGCACCTGTATGCCTCTTCATGATTGTATTCCAGAAATCTTTACATTTGCAAACAATTCTGTTTGTTTTTTTTTTTAAAAAGACTGGCTTTTGCAATCCTTGCAATGCTTATCCTAAACAGATACTGCAAGTAAACTCTGTTCTGAGCAGCACGAGTTGGGGCTTTTTTCAGAAATCTGAGAGCTGGACTTAACGTTGGCAGTAGATACAGTACAATAATTTGATGTACTAAACAGTTCCTCAAAAAAGTCTGAAAGGAAGATTTCCCTAAAGACTGTTTAAAAAACCAAACCAAACCCAAAACACTTCACCCAAGATCTGTTCAATCCTTCTACTGAAGTTCAGAGCTTGCCAACTTTTAAGAATGACAGGAAAAAGGAGGGAATGAAGTGGAGAGGAAACAGAACTGAATTATTCCCAATTTGTACCGATGAAAAGCTTCAAGTAAAAGGAAATCCACTTGTTAAAGATCTTGCTACATGCAGAGTCCCTCATCAGTTGAAAGCCACAGTAGTTAGCATTGGGTGTAACAGCAGATTTATTATCCATACAAAAAAACACTGGCACCGTTCCTTCATTCTTAATAACTTGCATCCACGGTTTCTGTTTAGAAGCTTCTTAAAAAACGTTTATGGTTCTGCACATTTTCATACCAAACTGGAGGAAAACGGTAAACATGTCTTCTTTCGATGCAAATCCCAGCAATCTTCTCCCCAAGAGCTCAGTGTCATTTACGAGTCTGAGTCTTCTTTGGCACGGCGGGTCTCTTGGCTTGCCACAAGTGGTTGTGGATCGTGAGCGCATCCACGCTGACCGACATGGTTTTGGCTGGAATCACATTAAACTGTTTTCTGTCCGAACTGTACTTATAAAGTTTGTCAATCATTTTCTTGGTGATGCTCTTTGGCCCCGTTCCAGTCAGCTTGTAGATTTCTTCAGTGTCGGGATAGTAGCAGTAAAGTGCTCTGAACTGGCAGCCGGCATCGCGGAACAAAATGATGTAGTGGTTGGCATCACATTTCTCTAGTTCCTGCATTAAAAATAAACAAACAAACGTATCCACAGACGGTTCACGGTGAAAAACCTCATTTTATGCCAAGCTTTAAGCTTTCACATAGAGCTAAATAAATATTTACAGCTTTTTGAAACACTAGGTGATACTTTTTATTGTGAGTGCATGAATAATCTTTACCTCTAATATTGAAATCTTATGTGGTTCGTTCACTTTTCCAGCGAGACAGCAATGAGAGATAGCATTGTGAATAATGTGTTTGTTTGATTTGCTGCTGGGTTCCTTAAATAATTTTGGACCAAAGAAAAAAAAAAAAAAAAAGAGTAAAAATTATTTGCCCTACATTTATAAATATTAAGATTTTCATTCATCAAAGTGAAAAAAAACCCAACCTCAACTATTTTTCTACAATAGCTTATTTTTAGAGATATTAAGTAGAACAAAATGCACCTGACAACTTCTCAAAAATAACAACGTGTCACATTAAATACACCACAGCTTTTTATGACCTGTTCCTCAGAACCAATGCCCAAACTAAACCAGAAGAGTCACCTGTGTATTCTGCCACTGAAGCAATAGAAGATGCTGTCGAAGCGTTCTCCCAGTCTCTCTCTGTGTTTCTGCTGGGATTTCTGCTCAGTATTGGTAAGGATTCCATCGATTCAACTCTGTTGGAGAAAAAAAATATTAAATCAATATATGCCAAGACTTTGCTTTTTCCCCTCCAATTTTAAATTCACCAGTCACTGGCCCTGAATGGAACAGGCTATTGACCTTTTCCTCCCCCAGAACAATCAGATTTTCTCTGATAGATTATCAAAACAAATTCTATTATTCCTTTAGGAGAAAACAAAACAAAACTGCAAGTTTGTACGGAACATTGGAGTCAGTAGCCACATAAAACAGATGATGGATTCACTAATTGCTATTGCACCTCTACGCCAGCGAGCTGAAGCAAACAATACTGAATGTCAACACTATTTCATAACAGAGTAATAAAAAAATAAAGGAATTAAAAGTAAGCTTCTCTCTACCTCTGGGACGGCGTGCCACCAGAGTGTACGCTTTCGGGTTCAGTTGTTGCTGCTGAGGCCAAAGACAGACTGGAGCCAGACTGAGCACTGCTCAAATTATCCGCTACGAAATAAAAGAGAAAAGGTGAAACACGTTTTGTTAAAGCAGATTTGTTTGCTCTCTCAGTGAGTCTACGAATCAGAATCCTTACGTGTGGAAGAACACTTTGTGCCTGAATCACTGTAAGATTCTTCGCGATGGACCGACTTTGGCCTGGGTTTTTTGGGCTTTGATTTGGGCTTTCCAAGCCCTTGCTCCTCCAAAATTTGCTGCTGTTTTTTCCTTAGATATTCTTGCTTGATAAGTTCTCTTCGAGCCTTCTCTTCTTCTTTCCGTATTCGGTCCTCCTCAGCTTTGCGACTGAAAAGGAGACACAACGTTACATTCAATAATATTTTTCATCATCTTAAAGACAAAAAGAAGCATTATTTTCCACGTTATTACCGAGCTTCATCTCTTTTCTGTTCAACTTCAGCCTCCAACTGCTGTTTCCGAATCCGAGCCTCCTCAGCTTTGCGCTGCTGTTTCAAAAGGAACGCTGCGCGCTTTTTCGCCAGCTCGTCTTCTGCTTTCTGCTCATCCTGCAAAATTCAGAGAGAGAGGGAGTTTTAATGAAGAAAAGACAGTATGTTAAGCTGGACATCACATGATTGCTGAGGATTCCAGGAAGATTTTAGGAAAACATAAGCTATTACTTTTGGAAGTCTTTAAATTTTTAGAATTGCTGAGTGCAAATTAGAACTATATTGAACTTTTTGTTGCTCAAGAATAATTTAAGAGACAGTTTTATAGTTCTCTGAAGTCTGTGAGGAGAAAAAAGGGTCTCATCCTACTCTTTTAAGTATGTCTAACCAGCACAAAACCTTCTAGAACTGCAAAGTACAATGCAACTACAGTGTGGGGTAGGGTGGGCAGCATAAATAACCCCAGCATAAGGGTAAGGATTTGGAGTTTGAGTCAATATTAATCATACTATACAAATCCTGGTTCCCAGTAAAGTTAGCAAGGGCCAGGATTTCATGTCAAAAAGTTTTTTCTCCATGAGCAACTCTCTTCCAATGCAGTTTGTTAAAATCCTAATATCGCAACCCAAATGTATTGCTTTCCACCAGAAGGATGAAGTGGAGAAAAAAGAGTTCTAATACCGAGCAAATGTGTAACAATAACCAAATATAAAAAGGTAATACATTTACCTTGAAGAAAAAGCCCACACCAGACTTCTGATCACCTTCACTAATTATATCCGTGGAGCTATCCTGGTTTTCAAGTTCTCCTTCATCCGGAGCTTTCAAGTCAGACAAGTCCACTTCGATGAGATTAGCCTTGCTTCTCAGTGGCTCATCCACTGGGACATTTTCTTTTCCTGAGCCATCAGAAGAATTCAACCCCAGTTCCTTGAAGCTGTTATTCACCTCTTTGCTCATTTCAGAAATAATATTTGCATCTTTGGAGGTGGAGAGAACAAGCGACCGTTGATTGCTCTCATCGTGAAGTCTATAGGTATCAAAGAAACACTTTTCTTGAGAAACACTTCCATGATCAGGACTATTTTCCAAGCCAATTTCTGTTGGGGTCTTTGACAAGCTATTGGGCGGAAACGGTCTTAAGTGTGGTAAGGTTTCTAGGCTCGGTGTTGGGGTTTTAACACGTGTTGAATTTTGCTGTCTGTCTTTAGGGACTTTCAGATCAGCTGGTCTTCCCGATCGAGGACTCCTTCCTTGACCAAATCGAGGTGGTTTACGAAGACTGTTCATTCCAGTTGGAGATAGGGGCTCAACAAAATGAATTGATGGTTTTACCTTTTGGTCCTGAGAGTTACTTCTGGTTCCTGGTGATGGCACTGATGGAGATTTCATAAGTAGCTCCTGTTGCTGAGAAATCTTTAATATAGCCTGCTGAAGCGTACTAATTGTTTCATTTAGCTTTTCAATAGAAAGATCACATTCATTTATATCCACTTCAGTAACATTGTCTTCTAGGAGGGCCACAGAAATAATTTTATTTTTTTCCAAATCATGTATAGCAGCAGAGTCTTTTGGTTTATGTGGCTCAGCAAAAGCTAAGCTTTCTTGCATTTTTACTTTTGCTACTTCTGGAGAATCATTTAGCATTTCTTCTCTCTCCTCCTCTTTCACAAGAAACTCCTCACATTTGGAACCCAAGGAAACTTCATCCAACTCTTCACCGTTGTGCCGAGCATATTCTTTTGCAAAATGTTCTGGTTTAAGTGGTTGGGGAACATCAGGAGATTTCCCCTTTTTAACAACATGCAAGAAAGCAGCCTTGCCCAATTTTAGTCGCTGCCTTGCCGACAAGGCTTCCATCTTCTTCTTCTGAGCCTCTATTGCTCTTCGTTTCTCTTCCAACTGCATATGAAGCTGCACCAATTCAGAAGCTAAAAGATTAACGTTATCTTTATTTTGACTGTTGGGGCTTTGCTCTCGTTTTTGTTTCCATGTGGTCAGAGGTGCTGGGCAGCTTTCTGACCCATCTGGTGTGGTCTTTTGAGAACTGCTTGTGCTGGACTTTGTTTCGTAGCTATTAAGCCTCTGAAGCTTTCGTTCTGCAAAGTTGGTCATTCGGACACTGCCACTGGCCATTGACACACTGCTGACTTGAGAAATTGTACTCAAACACGGGCTGGAACGTCCGCTAGCATCATCCTTATCTTCATGTTCTTTTACCTTCATATCTTCTTGCAATTTTGCAGATTCTTCCTCTCCAATGTATTTAGTGACTATAGGATGGTCATCTATGACTACCAAATCCTGCTCAGCGTCTTCTATGTCTAAGAGATCCGACTCAGAGTCCTGTCTCACCATAGTCCACGTGGTATCTGGAACATGCAAATTGAGACTTTTCACATAACTCACATTGACTTTACTTGCTATGTCATCCTCAGATTTAGCAGCATGAAGAAAAAATCCTCCAGTGGATAGCTCCTGCGCGGAAGGATCCAAACTGCTACTCGCCAAAGGTCTGGAAGCTTCTAAACTTGCTTCCGCCAGTGCCACGGAATCTGCAGTACTGGGATCTGCAACTGGAGTGAAATCAGAACTAGAAATTGGAGTAAAAGTCCTATTGAGGTCATGCTCACCATGACTGCTATTTGTTTTCTTGCGGATCAAAGGCAAGTGTCCTTCATTTAATCTCTTCGTTATAAAACTCCTTTGTTTCCCCTCCCCACATTCATCCTCTTTATTGATGATCTGTTTTTCCTTTGCTGGTTTTAGGACGGCAGGCATTAAAGGCTCCAAGTAAAAACTGTCTGGTTTGCTGTCTGAAGTCTCACTGTTTGTTTTTGGAGACCACGCCATCGCAGCTACGCTGGGCACCCTGGCCGACGCGTTCTGCGCTTCAGCATCACCGCGGTTTGGCCTTTCTTCAGATCTGATTATTGCAATAAGCTCTTCGTCTTCATCCTCGATTTCAACGTTGTTGAGCAAGCTCTTCCCGTTAGTTTTCATCGACGGAGGATGAGGCTGATTTTTCGGAGTGACATTAACAACATTTGAGGCAAGGCTGTCTTTGCTGATGGATCTAGCCAGGCTGATGCTGTCACCAGAGCCAGGGTCCACGTCACTGCTGGCAGAATGATGAAGAGCAAACGGTGTTGGCTGAGACAGAGGCCTAGGAAAGACAAGAAGAGTCTGCTGACACCTTAAGCACAAAACATTACAATCTGTTGAACTAAGGACCGTGACACAGACAGCTAAAATTTTTGCTCCATTTGAAAAATGTATTCTGTATCAAAAGTGAGCAGCAGCACTAAATAGTAACTTCATATACTTAAATTTTCAACAGTACTTACGAAAATCACATTTAAAGTATTTTCAACTGCAAGCCTAAAATCAAGTCATCTCTGAAAATGTACATTAAAAGGAAACAAAATTAAGCACCAGTTCTAAAGAAGTGGTACCACATGAACCCAATGAAGTTTTCCCAATGTCCTTTAATTAAACAATACTGTAATAAAAGCATCTGTTACCTGGGTTTCCGCTCTGGCCACGCAAGAACTGACCCTCGTGGCTGCCCATCAACACGGGTCAGAGAATTAGAACGATGTCGATGACCTGAAATATGTCTTAAATTGTTAATGGTTTAGAAGTGGTCTTGAAACTTTCACTTTACTTGATAGCAAACATAATAAACTCTTTCACCAAGAGATGGCAGCAGAAAATAGATTTGCCACAGACAGACAAAGCCTGAGAAAATGACAATGGAAAGTGACCACATACACAGAATCTGACTTTCGGATTTCCAACTGTGAAACTGTTCAATTTGCTTTCCCCACATTAAAACAAGAAAAAAAAAAAAAGGAAAGAAAAGAAAAGAGTCCTCACTGCATGTAGTCAGAGCCTAAGCAGTTGGAATGTTGGGTTGGTATCTTAGCTGATAAAGGAAAAGAAATTCTGAGCATCTCTGTGTAAGTATAAAACCTAGGTTTTCAGTAATTAAAAAAATATTTAGGCAAAATACGTCAAGTATTAGAGTGAGTTTGTCATTCTGGATGACAATCCTGCTTCCTAGGACTTTTGCTAGTCTTATGAGCATTTGACAAGTGGCTTTTTCCTTTCTTTTCACAGAATTGACATTATTAGCCTTAATTTCTTGCCCTTGAGATTCTGAGAAACATGCTCCTTTGTGAGAGAAAAACATTTTAAAAATCCAGTAACTTTCTAAAAGGCCTTTAAAATCTTCTCATGCAAATAAAGATGATTTATTCAAACTAAACATGCTTACCACTTGGCTGACGGCAGTTTAATTCAGTTTTAGATCATTCACATATACATACTTATATTTTTATTCAATACTGTACTGACACTGGGGGTCATTCCCAATTGAAACACAAATTCAAGGTTGACTTACCAGGGCTGTCTTCTCCCTGTAATGATTTTTGTTGCTTTTGTCTCAAAGGGAGCAGTGGATGGGAAGGGCTGAAGGCAGGGCTTCCTCCTTTGACACTAATTCAGAAAAACAAAAATGAATTACTACAAGAGTTTTGTTTCTATAACGAGAGAAATTATATAGGTTTGAATTTACACTGGGAATAGTTGTGACCATCCTCTTTAAAACACAATAATATCTCATTAATTTTAATGTTAAAGAAGTTATTTAAAGAGAACAAAAGATTTTCACATGTACACAATACAAAAGCAAATGTACTACCTGAAACCAAACTGTTTGAGTTTCTAAATACAGCAGATTTAAAATGTAGCTTACGCAAATAGTACATTAGAGACAAAGTAAAGGCTGAAATAACTTTTTGGCTGCCATTAAACCTGCATCTGCTGAAAAACCTTGTCATTAACCTTCTTGTACTTTAGATCCTACTAAAGTTTGTCTTCACATCACTATTCCTAGAATATAGATATTAAAACGAGCCACTTGGACAGTTTTCATAGAATCATAGAATGGTTTGGGTTGGAAGGGACCTTAAAGATCATCTAGTTCCAACCCCCCTGCCCTGGGCAGGGACACCTCCCACTAGAGCAGGTTGCTCAAGGCCCCATCCAGCCTGGCCTTGAACCCCTCCAGGGATGGGGCAGCCACAACTTCCCTGGGCAACCTGGGCCAGTGTCTCACCACCCTCAGAGTAAAAAATTTCTTCCTGATATCTAATCTGAATCTTTTTTCTTCCAATTTAAAACCGTTTCCCCTTGTCCTATCATTACCCTTCCTGGCAAAGAGTCCCTCCCCAGCTTTTCATGTTTCATTTTTGTTTCAAAATAAAATTTAGAGTAATTTCTATCACGCCACAGTGACATTTACTGGTGGGGCTTGTTGGCATTTGCCAAACCAAGATCAAACCTAACAGTGCAAAGCGTTTCTTTGAAATGGAGAATATTTGAGACTGACTGTGCTCAACTCACATTCACCCAGCTTGTAGCAAAATCAGAACAGTCAGCAGCAGAAATTCCTAGGTTATCCAAATGGAAGTATAAACTGAAGATCAGACTAAACAATATGAGAACAGACTTACAGGTAGTCGGGCTCCTCAGGGTGCAGGTAGTACCTGCTACAGGCTTCGGGGCCGGTCTGTGCCGAGGGCTGCAAGTCTGTGGGACCCGTAGCAGCGGGGCTGGCCATGAAACTGCGCTTCGTTGCGTTGGAAATAGGAACAGGCGGGCGACTGCTCTTCTGCTGCAACACTGTTTTAACTGGGCAGGCATTTATACCATTAGCACAACTCATACTAGCCATTAAAATAACTAAACAGACCTGTAAGCTTGCAGATTGCAGGACATTAGGAATCAAAAGCTTATGAAACAACACCGGGATGAAACCTCACGTATTAGTCTTTATTTAAAAATATGTATATTATGATGGCTTTAATGGAAAGAACGTTACAAGTAAATAATTAGTGGTTTTAGGGAAACAATTACCTATCTCATTCAAAAAAATAGAACACAAGTGGATCTAGGACTAACTTTCCTTACATTTTTACTGCTTTCAAAGATCGCCAGCAAGCAGAAAATTTGGGTAGAAACAAAACTCCAAGGAAAAACCACTGTGCACCAGTTTCTTTGTAGTGTAAGTATTTCTTAAATAACACGCTAACATTTATCACAAATTAAAAACTTACCATCTTTTATTTCCTGAATATCTCTTGGTTGTACAAAGTCTGGTTTGACATTCTCAAACCACCAGAAGAGTTCCGCAATGAATACCATGACGTTAGGCTAAAATGTCAAAAAAAAAAAAAAAGAAAACACACATCTCAATAAAAAACCACATACGATTTACCCACATTTTCTTAAAAAGTATAACCTTCATTACGTTTCTTACCTTTAAAACCAAAGGAGCATATAACATGTCCTCCAATGTGAGGTAAAAGCATTTGTTTAGATATTCATTTGAGAATTCTCTCAAAAGTTGAATATTATAGAGGCTGTCTGCAATTGATGTTACCTCCTTCAAACAAATATCTAGAAAGGTGAGAAAGATGAGCAAGTTACCAGACTATTCCAATGTATTAACCTGCCATCCACAACGAACAGAAAAGCTACATACAGGAACTCCACAGACAGCTTATACACCATCATTTAATATTTATTGGCTACCAGTGACATTTCTCTACCTGTCAAATACCAGAGGGATGGGAAAAGAAGGGAGAAAAACATAGATAAAAGAGAATCAATTTTGCATTCATTTTAGAATCCATATAGGATTCTGCCTGTCACAGCAACAGAAAAGGTAAGCAGGCTACAAAGAACACACGTGACAACAAAATACAAAAGCAATTAAAAACAGACATCTTGATTTGCAAGTAATAAAAGGTTACTCCTAGGATTCACAGTGCTGGTTCCTTCTGAAAACATTCAGGAGCTCTGCAAGGTACAACATATCTGAGAATTTAAAAACCAATATAAAATGTTGATTTGTAGAAGTTAAATGCAGTAAGGACAGTGAATTATTAAGAAAAACACTTTCTGGGAAAGAGAACTCATGTTTGCAATGCTGAAGAGTGACAATTGCTGAAGACTGGGAGAAATTATTTTCAAAACTAGACTGTAAAATGTCAAATTATCTACTTCTACAGTGCACTACCTATGAGATGTGTTGTATTTATATTTGCTAATGTATTTCTCGTTCAACTTTCAAAGACTAAAGAAATGTTTATTATATTTTTCAAAAATCTTGATTACATACCATCTAGTTTCATTTGCTCTGGACAATAATAGTGTATCACAGCTAGAAGAGCAGCACCATCGCTACCATCCTTCATCAAATCTTCAAGCAGAGGGAAGTAAGGTAATTGCCTGCTTGAAAGATGGTCTCTTCGGTAACGCACCTACCGACAGAAAACAATGTTCATATGATGCCAGCAAAAAGGAAAAAAAAAAAAAAAAGAAAAAGAAAAAAGAAGGAATTTTTGTTAAGCACTGAAAACTCTTTACGGTGGATCCTTTATCGCATTCTGCTTTAAGTCAAAAATAATTTACAAGGTTAAACTTTTCTCTCAATGGAAGCCAATTCTGAAGACTAAGGTGCTTCCCTTATAATCACTCCCCTCAGATGTGGGAGCAATTCGTGCTGCTGAATTTCTAGCTTCGTTCACACATTTTAACTTGTTACAAGCAATTTAAGTCAAAATCCTTCCACACAGATGCATGAATGCAGCAGATCCAAAGAAAGAGACACAGACAACTACATGAAAACACTTAAAGCTTGGGAAAAACAAAACAAAACACAGCAAAAAAAATTAATTCGGATGAGCTAGTGATTTCTCATACGTTACCTACATCCACAGACTTGCCATCATGTCCACAGACAGCAAAGTTCTCTCAGGGAGATTCAGAACATCGTGTGTCTGACAAGCCAGTACTCAACACTAATGGCGTGCAAAATTAAAAACCACGGCCTTTTCCAAACACGGTCAGCAAGAGGAGCAGGCAGGCCTTGTAAATCAACAGCAAAACTCTCCAGGATTTCACGATGGATCAACATCAAAGCACCCCGAGCCCTCAGGTAACTTGGAGCAGAGCTGAAGAGCAGCTGAAGCCAGTCAACTGAGGAACAAACCTTGGCATTGCTTCTTGCAGCCTTTGCAAGAGAAGTTTTGGTGTGGCTATTTACTACAGCACTCACATGCCACCGGGCTAGAAGCTGTGTCTAAGCTGGAGCAGCAAAGCCATCGGGCAAGCCAAAGAGCAATAGAGTGCAGAGCCCAGCAGAAATACCAGTCAGTGATGGAAAAAAAAAAAGATTCCTTTTACACTTTTGAGGATTGCTACCGCTCAGCATCTAACGACTACCTCGACTGCTGCGCTGGCCAAACACACACAAAGATCATCTTCAACCAGCAGAGGAAAGCTGGGTTTTACCAACGGTGTCATACACTTTCCAAGACAACCTGGGAAAGCTTTCTATACAAACACACACACACACTCACTCATACGTGTCAATTTAGGATGGCACAGGCTGAGAAAAAAAATCTGTTCAACGGAACAAAGTTGACTTACAATAGAGTAATAAGAACCCATTTCATTTATTCCTTCTGTCAAACATGCTATGTTAAGTTGCTCTGGCAAAGACAAGTAACTAAAGGCTACGTCTACACACTAATACTATTCTTCCTGTCCTTTTACCAGGTGAAAATTATTTTTTCCCCAGCCTGGAGCACTCCACAAATATGTAATGGAATGTGAATCATACTGTACCACACGAGCATATTCCACTGGTTCCAGCATGCAGTGCGATATGGCATGCATCAGATCAGGCTTACACAAAAAGAAACAGTGAGATACACGATGGTGATTATTCAAACAAGAAAACAAATCAAATGCATTAGCAACATCCATTATGCACTGGAAATGGGGCCATTAAGTCTGGTAAAATAAGTATGCACACTAAGGTGAACTGGTTAGCTTAAAAGGTTCATCATTTATCCACTTAGTCAAACTAAGCACATTAAAGACAAACTTCAGAAATTTCTTTTTAAGCTTTAATTCCTCCTGTATGAAAGTAGATACAAATATTTCCTTCCTGATAGGCTTAAATGGAATTTAAGCCAACTACAGCCAACCCTGAGAACTCAAATCTGCAGGAATTCCTTGTTTGTTTTAGCACTGGTGAAAAACCACACATTTCTCATCAAGGAGGTGTTTTTACAGACTTAATTTAATTCCTTATTTTTTGCTCCAGTATTATTCTCTTAACTATTCTAGTCTTTTATACTGAATATTCTGTATTCTTTGTAATATTCTCTGAATTCTTTCTAACATTCTAAGCACAGTTTTGTAGTTTGTTCCCCCCATACATAAAATTAATGACATTTGTATGCGTCAAAGTGCAGAAATGGGTGCTACTGAAATAGAGAGAACTCTGTATTAATAGAAAAAAAAAATCATGAAAGAAAAAAGAAATGCATACAGGGTGACAACTACTATGGAGACTGCAAAATCTGTCAGTAAACCAGTATAATCTAAGCTGTACTGGACTAGCAGCGAGATAACCTCTGTTTACTCCTTCCTTTACCACCTGCTTGCTCAACGACATCCTGCAAAGTCCTGTAGTTCCTTCTACTCTCTCCCAGCTGTCTCTCTTTAAATGAAACATAAACCTGCCCAACTTCCTCGAAAGGCTATCAGATATATGCCTCAAACACAGAGGCGACCTTTAAACACAGCAGAACGTGAGCGAGAGGCGCTACGTCAACGCAGGTCATTAAATGAGGCTGGAAGACTGGGCTCACTCACAGATATTATTAGCCTGCAGGTTCCCATTCCAGTTTCCTTTATTTCAGATATTCAAAGTTTTTCCTGTGGCCCATAGGTTTCGTTCAAATAAAAGAAGGGTTATGAGGCAGAGGAGAGGGGCTGAGCTCCCTCAGGACAGGTGACTCCACCATCACTCCTGCCTTTTCCACCTGCACTGCTCTTTGGAATTTGCAACCCAGACAACAACACTCATCTTCCCAGAGAGAAAACGAGAAATGCCAGAGCCAGCAAGGGCAAGAGAAAGAGTATCAAGGCAATGAAAGCAAAAGAACAAAGAAAAAATATCTGCAAGTTGAAACAAACCCAGGAAACTCCGCCAAAAGAAAGCAGGCTGGTGCACTAGAAGTACAAATTTATTATTTTATATATAGTGGAATTTATATTTTATTTTCACACTTCACCATAAAGAAAATAAGTATTTTGTGCTGATATGTAAACTGTCTTTCCTCCCACTCTGCCAGCTTCAGTCTCATTAATTTAGCATACAATCCCAGCAACTGTCATAACAGGTCCAAACTGGTTTGTCAAATCTTCTAACCCCATCTCAATGAATAACGGTGTTCTGGTTTTGACAGATTTACAAACCTGTGCAAGAGCATTATTTAATGAGCTACTGCAAACATCAGGGTATCTTAACTATGGCTTCAAGAGATTGAGCAACCATTTAAACCACCAGCTTTTATTTCACCTTAGTGCCGTGATCAATCGCCTACTTACAACAAAAATAGTAAATGCAACCATTTCAACTGTTGTTAATTTTCTCTTTCTTTTGCTGCTACTCCATATCCCTCACTCCTGCCCTGGGATTGTGAAATGGGATTTCGAAATGCTGTGAAGTGATTATGCTGTATGCTGTACAGTATGCAAAAACCATGTCATGAAAACTAAGCCTGATGACTCAAAAGCTTACACAGGTGGTGTTTTTTTCAAAGACCATCTAAGAAGCATTGTAATGGAAGCAATCACTCTGAAGAAATTTAAAAAGCCATGATTTTGTGGATGACAACTGGTGTAAAAGTAGTTCACTTACAGGTACTAATTTCCAATACCATTTGGAAGGAGACTGCTCAGGAAGCAAGGAAAGGAACGTAGGAATAGGAGAGGAACATCAGCAATGCAAGTTAGAAGCAGTAATACTTAAATGCACTTCAGCAATAAACACTTTCATATTTCAGAGGGCTTGTAGCCTAGAAATTTAGGTTTAAAAATACTAAAATGAGACCCAAAAGTCAATAAAATCAAATAGTTAAAGGGATCCTTCAGACCACACATCAACTTGTAAATTAAACAGCTCTTCAGCCCCTTGTCATTGAAGCAGGTTATTTTATATAAAAAGCACATAAGAAAACCTTTGCCACTAACAGGAAAGTTAAACAATTGTGCCTTGTTCGTATGTCACACTTTTATCCCCTTTGTGCAGCAATGCCAATTTAAAGAAAGAACATAGCAGTTTTTCTTAAGGCTTCATCAAATCATCCATTAGGAGCTCAGACAGCTGATATGTTTGAGAAAGGTGTATTTTATGTTCTCCAGAAATGAAAGTGTACTATATTTTGCAATGTCAGTGCATTGTGATATAATTTCAAGGGAAAAAGGTGGAAAAAACTACAAACACACACATATAACATTTGAATGCCAAGAGTATGCTTACTGGAGAGAGCTTGAATAAGCCTCTGAATATACATTAGACAACTAACCCATGCAAAATGAATATGCCCCAAGAGCTTTCAAAATATATTATATATATTTTGTGCTGTGAAAGTTGAGTCATATTTACCCATAGAAAGTTGACACATGTTATTTTAAGTTGAAACGAGTAATTTTAGTCCAAGTGAAAATTGAAGAAAAATCAGAAGATACCAGTGGGCTTGAAAGGTAGGGAAGGGCACTAATGATAAGACACACAAAAATTACATGCACAAAATCTCAGGAGTTTCAAGAACTGGATGCCTCACATTTCCCTGGCAAAGAAAATACTGAGAAGTTTATATTTAAATCCATTAATCATCAATACACAAAATCACAACTGCAAACAAGTTTGTTTTACCTTTTGGTGCCCTGGACTTTCCATTAGTTGCTGTTTTAATTTAATCTCTTTCTCTGTTATCTCTCTCATTTTAAGGTTCACCTAAAAGGTCAGAGCATAGAAAAGAGATTAAAATACATTTGAATATATGTTTCCACAAGTTAATTTTTTTTTCTTCCTTCTCTTACTTAATGGTCAATCCATTTTACACACAGAAAAAATTCACAGAAAAATGCATTATGACAGATTTCAAGACCAGCTGTCTCACTAGCAGTAGCTATAATCACAAGGGAATCCTGGCTTTGCAAAGGAGACATTATCTTTGGAACGTGACTCTGTTGTCACTTGAAAGGGTTTCACTAATTTAACCTCTACCCTTCAAAAAGTTTCAGTATTTCTGCTAGCTGTATTCAAGCTAGTCAGAATTAAGTCTATCTTGTTAATTAACATGAAACAATGCTTCACCTAAAAAAACCCCAAAACCCTCATGGCAGCTTGTCTGAAAATAAAGAACCCAATTTCCACAGTTTTCCTAATTTAGTTCTTAATTATCTCCTCTATTTTAAAATTTGCCTTGAAAAATTTACCAGCTTTATTACAACACCCTTAAGAAAAATAAATTGCATTTCCCTGCTAGTTTGATTCTCTTTCCCAATGCATATGGAAACGGGAAGTCAAGCAAGAAGATTAAATTAGAATACATTTCAGTAATAAGGAAATCAAACAGCATTAATAACAATCTCAATTAGAATGATATTATACCCAACCACCCAACTACCGTTGGACTTGAGATACAAGTAAAAACACAGTAATTAAAGCAATTCTCTTCCTCTGAAGTGGAAAAGGTGATAGAAATGCACAGAAAGATGGAAGGAAGACACTCATCGGAACATTTTTAGAAATCTGAAGAGAGATAGAAAGAAAGAGGTGGGCCTTCCTCAAAGTAAAATTTACCTTATTAATCCAGAAAACCATTGCATCTTCCAAATCATAGGGCAGTTCTTTTGAGGCACTGAATGTAGAGAAACGCTTGACACTAGCGACCACCTTCTCAATGCTGATCATTTCTACAGTGTAGGCCATCATAAGAGCATCGATCATTGCCATATGAGAACTCTAAAAGAAGAAAAAAATGAGTATTGAAAAATAAAATCCTTTAAGACAAAAAAAATCACCTGTATATTCTAACTGTACTTAAAATAAAAAGTTCCTGAGGTTAGTGACCTAGAAATTAAAAGCTCTTCGTTCCGTTAACTATTTTAAATAGCGTTAAATAAAAAGAAGATCATTAGGGGGATTTAATTAAGCTAACCATTTTGATTGGTGCACAGCCCAGATCAGATTCAGACACAGGTGTATCATCACTCTCCATGACGTAAATCCCTTTCCGAGACAGAGCCTGGATGACGGACTGGTGTCCCTGCAGAGCAGCCACCTGATCCCCCTTCAGGATGAGGCTGCAGACGCGGCAGTACAGCTCGCCGGAGAGCAGCAGCTTGATGACGGGGGGCTTAATATGCTCTTGTTCATACTGATCTATGTAAAAAGGGTCCTTCAGCTCCTCTGGGACGTTATCTGAAACAACAAAGAAAAGTTTCATCACGTATCACCAGTACGTGGTGTCAGTTGTAAACAGAAGTACACATTTTTGCTTTAACTCACAGCACAGGAAAGAACAAAATGAAAATCAAGCTCAAAAAATACTGGATGTAATTAAGTCTGTAGTTTCATGTTGCAAATGGTTTTCAGGAGGTCTTTGAGCTTAAATTTTACGTTACCACTGAGGTTTCTGAAGACATTAGAGACCCTTGCACGACAGCATTCCAACACGGGCTGAAGTGCCCTGTCCCCTACACAGCTCTAGCTGCTTCCTTCTCTAAGATCCACCTTAATCAGAACAATACACTGTCACCTCCACTGATTAACACGTATTATTAGTATTTTAATTTCATTTTGAAATAAAGAAATCATTTACTTAGATCACGGGTAAGATGCTCTGTGTATCAGATGAGCACAGTGTGTGTGTGTATATATATATCTGTATATATCTTCAAAACAAAATTTACAGCTACTTCAAGCAATCCCCCAAAACATCTGTGCACAGCAATGAACTAACTGCAACGCTCAGTCAGTAGGAGGGGCCGGCCAAACAGTCTCAAATTGAAAAAGAAAACTAAGCCACCTATTTTCTTGGTTCTAAACTGCCAGATTTCATAGAAAGACCGAAATATCTGCCTAATACCATTTTACAAAAGGTCTGCAAAACAAGCAAGTCTACAGTGAGCTCATCATCTGTGCTTTTGAAGACAAGAGTATGGAAGCAAACTACTACAGCTTTTCAGCCTTTAAACCAAAATTAAAGCCCATGAAGCAAAACCATTCCGCTCGGATTTGGATTCATCATGAATTTTAAATCAAGTTCTAAAATTAACTTCTTTTGGAATGGCCCAATTTCCACAAGTTGTCTTATTTTATCAAACTGAACACAGGTCCCGAGTGCGGTAATTTACACGCCAATTAAAATTAAAACACAGTTGTCTCCATCCTTGCACCCCACCTCTTCCCCACCGGTTTCCAACCTGCAGAAAGACTTTTCCACTTTTGCTACACACCAGTGCAGCTCCACAACTGGCAGGAAAGAAAGGCACTACCACCAATTAATACTCTGATTGCTCTAATCACATCTCTTCCAGCTCAAATCCATGCATCGCTCGCTGAAGTCCTGCCCCTGTCAAAGGCTGCAGTCACTGATTATAACAGTTGGACATGGAAGGAAATGCTGCTGTAAGCAATATTTCTTGATATTATTGAAAAGACATAAAACAAGTTAAAAATAGATATATTCCCAAATAAATACTTCTACTCACATTCTGTAATCAGACTAGAAGGTATTGATCCTTCTAATAGGCAACAGTCATAATGAGAGTCTTCAACTCCAGGAAAAATCCTTCTTAGCCTCAAGTGTGTTGTCTTAATAGAAGCCCAACATTTCCTGATTTTCAAACATAAAATTCTATCCTCTGCCATCCAGTCACTGAAGATCTTCCCCCGAAGCCACTTCAACAGTTCATCTTACATACGCATATCTACAGTTACAGGAATTATTAATTTGGCTGCATATTTACTTTTCATTCAGCTCATTTGCAGAATAATTAAATTCCCCCATTCAAAAAAACCTCCCACCCGTAGCACATCATCGAAGCGCAAAATCAGCTGCGCAGTATTTGAACACTGCAGAGCCCTTCATGTCCACAAAGAAAAGAAACTGAGCCAGAAACACATCTCACTTAAATAAAAATATGAAGGAAATCAGCATTGTTGTAACAGCTCTTACAGCTACTCAGTTAGTCCTACCCTACTGCCCCTGTTTTTCAAAATGGAAAGCTTTTTGAAGTTTTTAAAAATTAAGATGACTGTTTCTCCTTTATGTGACACTGAATGCCGTGATATAGGGACTATATACTGAAGATGGTTTGAAGACACACAATAAAATCCCACTGGCACTACATAAGTAGTGTTTGCTAAGATGGGTGTCCATTTTTAGTAAAATAGATAATAAATTCAAATATTTTTAATCTTCTTAACATTAGTCAACCTGACCTAAAATCAAAGGCTGTTGAAAGCTAATTCCATTTAATGGTCATTGCCATTTCCAGGAACAGAACTCAAAAGCTTCCATTTCTAAAGACCAGGGAAAGACCCAAAAATCAAAATGTAAAGCCGCTCACGTAATTCAACATTTTCGCTTCATTACAAGCACCTACATCTTTAACAATCAAAGATACATTCCTTTTTACAAAAATTATTTGTGAAAGGAAATACTAGAATACTAGCTCATAAAATTACATTTCTGCTAAGAGCATTAGCACCACTCCAAGTTTTGAAGGCTTTTTTAAAACAAAAAAAAAATGCAAATTCAGGATGTCTAAAATGTGAAGTACTTAGAGGAGGGGTTTAGCATGAACATCTGCCCTCCAGCAGCTCCCCGGGCCCCCCAGGGCTGGGTAACCGAGGTGACCGTCTGAAACTCCAGGGTGGGGAAGGGCTGGACAAAGAGCCCCCGGTGCCCCCCGGCAGCAGCCCAGGGACCCCCTCACCGTGGTGCTTCCCCAGGTCCCTCTGCACAGGGCAGGCTGTGAGCATGTTACAGACTGGGAGTACAGAAAGCAAAACACATTCTCTTCTACACTGACATACCCACAAGGGACACAATCTATCGCATTGGGGTTTTTACACCCATTATTAAAACAGAAGCGACTATATAGGAACACAGTGCACAGCTCCCTGTGTGATAGGGGCAATAAAACCTCCCACGTTAATTTTCATTTAAACTCGCAACATTTTAATGATTTTAAAAAGGCTTTTCTAGCAATAAATGAATCCAGTTCTTAATGATGAGATTCCATGTCCCAGAAATCAATATATTTAAAAAAAAGAATAACTACAACTTGTACCTTGGCTACTGTTCTTCAATCTGAACGTTCAATCAAGAGATCTGAAATCTTTTTCTTCTATATTGAAGAACTTGCTAACTTCATGTTTCTGATCTCCATATAATCACTTAAGGACTGAGTGGATTTAGATTGACCAGGATTAAAGATACGGAGGGGAGGCAGGGGAATAACTTCCAGTAGCAGGATCAATAATTTGAATACTATCATAAGCAGTTACTCATAAACATTAATCGTCCCATAATTGCAACTTATTTCACTATAAACACTTGCCCAGTTTTATCTTCTACATACAGCACTTCCACCAGCTAAATATGCCTGTGACAGAAAGGAACAGTTTTGTAATTAATTTGACATCCTGACTAAAGGCCCACAGACATTTTAAGATATAAAAACCACATCAAAGCTCAAGAGCTGCAATATTTACTATTTAATTCAAATTTATTTCATACTGGACATAACTGTACTATCCCCATGGGCAGGCCCAAATAAACGAGAAATAAATGACAGGAAAAAACGTAATGCAAAAGGACACTACATGAGTATATAGATCTTGAGAACCTTTCAAATACCATAGTTGCTGAAGTCCCGTACCCAATGCAATCACCTCACACAGGTAACACACCCTTCCCAGATATCTTCAATATTTGAAATCTGCATCTGAAAGTGTAAGGTAAGAGACCTATCTTATCTTTCACATCTCTGTAATTAGTCTTATCTGTAGTATAATGCCACCTAAGCCACCTGCAGCACCCAGGACTGCTCCTTCTCCAAAGCCCCCTTAGAAATGTCAAAATTCCCACATTCCCAAAAATCTCAGAAATACGCTGTGAATTTTTTGAGCAATTTCACACCATCAGAGTTAACCCGATGCTAATTTAAATTACACACTGGATACACAAGTAGCCACCAGTATTAAGGGTGCTTTTCTCCCCAGTTTTTGTGGATCTGGCAATCTCCAAACGTGTCACGCGCTTTTTGCTTGCCTCACCACAGAATGTGCCAATGCTCTGTTTGAAGTCTTTGTCCCCGTCTTTCCAAGTCCCAGTTTCTATAAGCATCTTTTCCAACACCTTACTTTCATGACCTATAACTGAACTTAGACGTTAGAAAAATTCCGTTCATCGAAACTTAAGATTTTTACACTTTTATGCTCTGGAATTTGGAAAAAAGAACAAGAAAAATTAACTTCTGAGCAATTAACTTCTAAGCTATAGCTACAAAAATATCTGCTTGAGCAGTTTAACAAATCATACCAAAGTCAACCAAAACCAAATAAACTACGTCCTTTTTTTTTTTTCTGTATAAAAAGGTCTCCAACACCATCTTACTTCCTAAAGATGGAATGTTATTGAAAAGCTTGTGAACACCTTGTTTTCCCCAATGTGCTTCCCCAGTTGTTACTCCAGGAAATTGTCAGCATCAGCTTCAACGTGAGCTTTACAATTGCCAGTTTTAGACAAACTGAGGTGTTCAAGAGACATAAAGCTTAAAAACTACCAGCAGGTTTTATAGTCACTTAAAAAGAACGGCACATAACCCGATAGCCAGACCTGTGAAGGCAAACAGCGTTAATGCAGTTTGTCAGAAGTTTGCTATCAAGAATTGTGAAAGCATTTACCGCGCTACACTCGATATCAGAGTTGACCAGATCCCTTTCACACATGGATTTTATGTACATTTTATACCACATTACTTAGTCGCATGCAGTCAGCTTATTATAGAGCAAAAATGCTCATTTTTGCTGTTTCCCACACTTAGAAAAAAAACACAGTAACAGCATCTTTTTTTCCAAATGGCTTTTTTCAGCAGCATAATCTCTGAAGTGCTCTTGCCCCACTGAGCCCACCAGGAAGATGCTATTTTTATAAGAGATGAAGGACTCAACAATAAACTACAATAATTCCTCATGAAGCAATTCGCTTGGTCTGTTCCATCATATCAATGAGTTCTCACCTCTCAAGGAAATGTCAGCTCCAAGAACAAATCACTGTGTACCACACAGTTTACAGGATTAGAAAAATGACTTCACTTGTAACAACCATCAGAGACCCAATTACTGCCAGGCTCTCCCTCTCCTCGCTTTAGGGTAGGGACTATTTCTTTATCTTCTCACTTACAGAAAACCTGTTCAAAGACGACTACCTGATTATGATTTGATAAAGAAAAATAGAGCCATCTGAACAAATTTGTCTTATCCCTTGAACTGGAGAAGTGGATACACCCCAGGTCTTATTTTACCTCCCAAAGCACGAAGAACTGGTTTCACACGGAAAGAGAGCCAAAGCATGGCAGTAAACAGCACGGAGCTTATTCAAATTCTGAGTAGGATTTCATCAGTATCAGTATCTGTTCACAGAATTATTTAGCACTGCATGGATGTCCTCTCACCTGCAGATCACAAGCAGAAGCTACACATTCTCACCACCTGCACTATAATAAAAACATTCTTTGTTGGGTCTCATTCCAGAACTGAATTATAAACTCCGTAAGCTATCTGTTATATTACACACAAAAATTTACATACAACAGGCAGGAAAAAAAACCAAGCTGAAGACTTTGTACACTCCTGGTGAGAGTGACCGCACTCTCATTATCATACCTTTTGACCAAGCATAAAGTCAAACATCTGGATGAAGCAGAAGAGACAAAATAATAATCATGGAATTCTTCACCCCTGTAAACTTCACAGAAACAATATTCAGTGTTTATCAAATGGGCATTACTAAAGAAACAAACATTTAACTACTGAATATTTGCAAACCACAAAAGCTTGCTTAAAAAATATTTTTACTATGGATCTGAGAAGGCCGCTGAGAAAAAAATACAAGCAAGAACTCGGGGATTTAGGTAATTTAGCCCAGGAAATGTGCTCACACTGCCTCTACCAAGCGGTAACTGTGGGTAGCTGCTACAGTACTGTAAAACCTTATTTAACAGGTGACTGTTAAGTACTTCAAAGACCAAAAAAAGCCACAACTTGGACCTCCCCTACAATGTATTATATTAGTGCTTGGCTTTCCTGCCTGTATCTTGCCAAAGGTCTCAGGCTACTGTGAGCATTAAGTCTGGAAACTATGTAAAGCTCCGAGCCCTAATAAATATGTAAAACCCACCAAGTTCATTTTGGATAATCTGAATTTCACAAACTGTTTTAAAGGAGCATCAGCATTTGTTACGGAAAGGGCTGCAGACAAACCACTTGCTCACAGCAAACTGCAATGCTGCAAGACTTCCATCCACTCCTTCCATCCATCTAAATTTTAACATCATAATTGTGACGATGGAAAAATTATTTCTACGCATAAATTAATGCCGTACCGAGCCGGCTGAGAAATCAAAACTTTTCATTGTCATTCCCTATTTTCCCCAAGTTGTACCAAATGGAAACGAACTAGTTGTGTTCCCTCTGACTGCTCGGAGCCCGAGGGGACAGTGGGGCTGGAGGACCAGGGCTGCTTCCCTCTGCTCAGCCCCCGGCTCCGTCACCGCCTGGTTCATTCCGCCGGCCGGGGAAAGGCCCTCTCTCCCACGGAGAGGCTGCCAAGGCTCTGCAAACCTCCCACACTCGCCTCCCCTGAACCCAAGTTCCACAAACTCAGCAGCACCCTCGCTCCTCGGCCACTCCGACGTCAGGACTCGTGTTTTCCCACTGCCAGCAGAATTCCTTAAAGCGCACATTTGGTTCTCATCAACAGTTTTACTGATGAAAAAAAGATAATTCTCTTCTAATCAAATTCCATTCCCTCCAACTACTGTCTCAGCTAAACGGACTTTATCATCTCTCCAGTGTACAGAGGGTTTCCAGATGTTTGTGCACAGGCTTTTAGAGCGATCCAGGACAGTACTCCCAGGTTTATTTTTGGGGAGATGGATGACACCGAACGGAGAAACGCTTTCCTTCACAACATCCTCCCCCTCTGTCTTCTGGAATTCGGACAAACAGTTGTAAGACCTCCCTCTGGGCTCCATCTGTGACAACCAGGCAGCCACCAGAGAGAGACAGGAGGAGCCACGGGCTTCCAGAAACAAACCATTCAGCCCAATTCCCATCCAAGGAGAGGGGCGGTCCCTCTAGCAGCATTTGTGCTGAAAAGACAAGGTAGCTGTGCTCGGTGTTTGCCTACCCAAATTCTCTCTTTTCATGGCCAGAAGGGAAAAAAGGAGGAATGCATCATCAAATGAAACAAAGCCCAAATTAGGACTTCAGCTTCAAATTATGTGTCGTGCATGCTCTCAGTAATTTGTCCTTGTGAAAAAAGAAAGGATGAAGAATTTCCCTACTTAGATGCCAGCTAAGATGTAGAGAATTCAAATATCCTCTAACAGTAAATAGGAAATACAGTTGCAGGTAAAACCTGCAGCAATGAATGACTTGGAGTAACAGTCTACACTAGCATCAAAGTCCTGTTTGTGACCATTCCCACACTTCAGCACCAGCTCAGCCTTACTCAGACAAAAATGAAATCGAGGATATGCACCAGCATTTGGAAGATTAAGGCACAAAATTATGTGAATTCATATATGTCAATTCCAGACCTAAAATTTCTGAAAACCACTCTTTAGTTAGCCACTTGAAGGCAGTTATGGAAACCCTATCAGATGAGAATTACTTCAGAACATAAGACAGTGTTTTAATACTATAAACACAGAAGCATTTTTTCCCCACCAAACTGACCAGAACTAAGTCTAAAAATAACAAAAAAGCCACCCCTAACCTGTCATTTGCCTAGTGAGATTTTTTTATAACAAATTGGCAATTCCTTGATAGGTTCCCACTGAACAGCATCCAGTATCTTAACACAGAGAGAAAACCATGAGATGACAAGTAACATATTAAGTTCAAATATTATTCAAAATGATAATCACATAAGAAACCTCTTTAAACCCATCTCTCTATGAATAAAAGAGGCTTATAAATTTCTAAGTATTTTGCAATGCGATTCCAGAAGTAATGGTTACTACATGACAACGCCTTGCAGGAGCCATTTCAAAAATCAAACTAAATTTCCATGGGCTGTGGTCCCCCAAAGATACACACACACAACACAAGCCCACACTGGAGCTAACCAACAGCGCAACACCAAAAGCACCAGCAAAAATATTTTTTTCCTCCTGTTCGTGGCATTTAACTTTTATTAAAATGTAATCTGAACAAGCCTCAATACAAGCAGAGAAACTGGCAAGCGCTGCTACAGCCTCCTCTATGCTGGACATTACATTGTTGTCACCAGGAAAGGTGGGCTTCTTTTCCAAAATTTTTAATCAAAGGAAAGCCAAATACTTATTCAACGTAAGCCCGCGCTGTCAAGTGCACAAACAGACCTGCTGTTAACCCCTTATCTGGTCCAAGATGCACAGACACAACCCTGAGCTCTGGAGCTCCAGAAGCCACTACCAAGAAACTCGAGGCCAAAAAGCTTCTCTGCAGCGTAGGAGCCGTGCCAGTCCATTCTAATTTAGGATCAGCTTTCTTCCGAAACAAAGTCATAATATAAATAGTGCCTCTCTATGTCTGGAATATCCATTTTATCTCTGATCACTAAAAAGTCTTCAGGAAACATTACAAACAATTCCAGCAACTGAACGTTTTTCACATGAGGAAATGTTCTTCTAAGTTATCAATGTTTTACTAACACCCTCCCAAAATTCCCACTATTTTTTTCAAACATCATCTGATAAACAGAGCTTTTTTGTCTCTTGTTGCTTGTAATGAAACTCCTTCACTAATACTAAACATTATAAAACCATGATTTTCTGTTTTGCCCACAAATGAGACAATGAGAACCCTGACAGAACTGGAAATATTAACAAAGAAAAATAATTTAGAAAAATATTCCAACAAGGATTAATATTTAACTGCAGGAATGGACTGCTTTTCTTCAGCCTTGTCACAAAGTAAGCTAGTGCTAATCCATTAAGCATATTATGAGTTTGGCGAATTAGACTTAGATTAACAGGGCTACCTCATTTTCCAAAACAAGATCCTGTACATTTTTATTACATGTTTTATTCTGGATAAACAAAAGACAGAAGTATTCCATCCTATTTCTTCATAATGATGCTACTTAAACTCAAGATGTATCTGGTAAGAATAATTCAGAATAGACAGACAGATCTAGTTCAAAACAAAAAAGCAAATTTCAATAGATGTCAGGAAAATACTGTACAAGTGAAACTCCAAGAATCTTCATTTCTCCATGTTTGACTGTAAAGGTTTACAACTATGTGAGGGAAAGAAGAATTCCTCTATCACCTACAACTTGCTGTTTAATGTCACAGAACACAGACAAACCGTACCTGTTCATTCAACATTTACATAAAAGAATGTTGTTGATCATAAATTGATTACTTTTTAGTTCATTTTGAAACCAAAACCACAATCTGACAGAAAAAAACACCACTCCTGAGAATACAAAGAGTGTCAAGGTCCTAGCATCCGTTGGCCAAGATGACTAGACAAGGAAGCAGACTAACGCCTTCACAGCCTGGAGGGACTCGGGGCCTGCAAGCCCTGACACACAGTTCTGTGGAGGAAAGTCTTACTTTGCTAAAATGAGGATTTAAGCATTTCAGGGTAAGCATTCTCCACAAGCACAATCTGCCAGCGTTCACCATTAAGTGTGCTGATTCAGGGCATCTCATGCAGTTCCATTATTCCCATCAAAGGTACCAGGAAACGTGCAACATTACAAGAAAAGAGACGATCAGATTTTTGATATTTAAAACAAAGGTGATTCAAGCCCAATTTAAGTGCTTCTGGAATGGCAGGGGAGACACAAAAAGCATGAACAAAACCAAGAATGGTGATCTTACCTATTCCGTAGGCTTTCGCACAGATCCATTGTAGATTAGCAGCTATTTTTGCTCTGGCTGAATCATAGAGCTCCAAAGGGACAATCTCAACTGCACTATCTGTCAGGGCATCCATTTTTCTTCTGGTACTATCTCCACCCACGCAAACATCAACGTCCACCATCTGAAACAAAACCAAAAGACAGCAGCCGACTTTTACACGGGCATTTTTGAAACCATTGCATTTTTTAAGCCCGCAGAGGAGAGGAGCTGGCTGAAGGGAGGGCCGAGGAGCATCACGCCGGGCACAATACGGCGGGCAGAACACCACAGGCCCGACATCCTTCAGCATTTACATCGCAAGGGCTCATTTAGCCATTGAAAATCCACTGGGGAAATCAGAAGACATCCGAGCCCAGGGCGAGCATCCCTTTTCGGATTCGCCCACAAAAAGCCCGTTGCCAAGGCCAAAGAAGAAAGGAGCAGCCCAGCACCTGCCCGACCGCTGGAATAAAGGCAGGATGATGGGGCGCTCCCGCACCGCCGCCCCCCCC